TGAGACAGAAAGTCAATAAAGAAATAGTGGACTTAAATGAAAAACTAGACAAGATGGACTTAATAGATATATACAGAGCACTCCATCCAAACACAGCAGTATACACATTCTTCTCAAGCATGAATGGAACATTCTAAGGATAGACCATATGTTGGGAAACAAGGTATACCTCTATAAATTTAAGGAGATTGAAATCATAACAAGCATCTTTTCTGACCATAATGCTGTGAAACTGGAAATCAAGTACAAGAAAAAAACTGTGGAAGTGTCAAAGATCTGGAGACTAAACAACATGCTACTGCACAACCAATGGATCATTGATGAAGTTAAAGGAGAAATAAAAAAATATCTTGAGACAGGGGCTGGCCCAGTGGCGCAAGTTGTTAGGTGTGTGCGCTCTGCTGTGGTGGCCTGGGGTTCGCGGGTTAGGAACCCTGGCGTGCACGGATGCACTGCTTGTCATGCCATGTTGTGGCAGTGTCCCATATAGAGTAGATGAAGATGGGCATGGATGTTAGCTGAGGGCTGATCTTCCTCACTCACACAAAAAATATCTTGAGACAAATGAAAATGAAAATACACCATACTGACTCACATGGGATGCAGCTAAAGTGGTCCTGAGAGGAAAACTCATAGCAATACAGGCCTACCTCAACAAGCAAGAAAAATTCCAAATAAGCAACTTTAACTACACTTAACAGAATTAGAAAAAGAACAACAAAGAAAGCCCAAAATCAGCAGAAGGAGTGAAATAAAAATTAGAGTAGAAATAAATGAAATAGAAACCAAAAAAACAGGAGAAAGGATCAATGAAACTAAGAGCTGGTACTTTGAGAAGATAAAGAAAATTGACAAACCTTAGCCAGACTCACTAAGAAAAAAAGAAAGAAAGCTCAAATAAATAAAATTAGAAATGAAAGAGGAGAAATTACAATGGACACCAGAGATATACAGAGGATTATAAGATAATACTATGAAAAACAATATGCCAACAAATTGGACAATCTAGAAGAAATAGATAAATTCGTAGACTCACACAACCTCCCAAAACTGAATCAAGAAGAAATAGAGAATCTGAACAGACCAATCACAAATGAAGAGATTGAAACAGTAATCAAAAACCCCCCAAAAAATAAAAGTCCAGGACCAGATGGCTTCTCTGGAAAATTTTACAAAACATTCAAAGAAGATTTCATACCTATCTTTCTCAAACCATTCCAAAATATAGAGGAAGATGGAACAGTTCCTAACACATTCTATGAGGCCAACATCACCCTGGTACCAAAGCCAGGCAAAGACAATACTAAGAAGGAAAACTACAGGTCAATATCACTGACAAACATAGATGCAAAAATCCTCAACAAAATATTGGCAAACCGAACATAGGAATATATTAAAAATATCATACACCACGATTAAGTGGGATTTATATCACGGACATAGGGATGGTTCAACAACCGCAAATCAATCAATGTGATATAACACATTAACAAAACGAGGAATAAAAACCACATGATTATCTCAATAGATGCAGAGAAGGCATTTGACAAGATACAAAATGCATTTATGATAAAAACTGTCAACAAAATAGGTATACAAGGAAAGTACCTCAACATAATAAAGGCCTTATGACAAACCCACAGCCAACATCATATTCAATGGGGGAAACTTAAAGCCATTCTCCTGAGAACAGGAACAAGACAAGGGTGCCTACTCTCGCCACTCTTATTCAACATAGTACCGGAGGTTTTGGCCAGAGCAGTTAGGCAAGAGAAAAGAATAAAGGGAATCCCAATAGGCAATGAAGAAGTGAAACTCACTGTTTGCAGATGACAAGATTTTATATATAGAAAACCCTAAAGAATCCACTGGAAAACTATTAGAAATAATAAAAAACTACAGCAAAGTTGCAGGGTACAAAATCAACTTACCAAAATCAGTTATATTTCTATACTCTAATAGCGAACTAACAGAAAGAGAACTCAAGGAGACAATCCCATTTACAACCCCAATAAAAAGAATAAAATATCTAGGAATGCGTTTAACCAAGGAGGTGAAGGACCTATACAATGATAACTATAAGACATTATTGAAAGAAATCGACGATGACATAAAGAAATGGAAAGACATCCCATGCACATGGGTCAGAGGAATAAATGTGGTTAAGAAGTCCACACTACCTAAAGCAATCTACAGAGTCAATGCAATCCCAATCAGAATCCCAAGGACATTCTTCACGGAAATAGAACAAAAAATATTAAAATTCATATGGGGCAAAAAAAACCCCAAAGAGATCCTGAGAAAAAAGAACAAAGCTGGAGCCATCACAATCCCTGACTTCAAAATATACTACAAAGCTATAATAGTTAAAATAGCCTGGTACTGGTACAAAAACAGACACACAGAATTGAAAGCCCAGAAATAAAACCGCACATCTATGCACAGCTAATCTTTGACAAAGGAGCTAAGAACACACAATGGAGAAAGGAGAGTGTCTTCCATAAATGGTGCTGGGAAAACTGGACAGCCACATGCAAAAGAATGAAAGTAGACCATCTTCTTTCACCATACACAAAAATTAACTCAAAATAGATCAAAGACCTGAAGGTGAGACCTGAAACTATAAAACTCCTAGAAGAATATGTAGGCAGTACACTCTTTGACATCAGTCAGACAGGGATCTCTTTGAATTCCATGTCTACACGGACAAGTGAAACAAAAGAAAAATAAACAAGTGGGATTTCATCAGACTAAAGAGCTTCTGCAGGCAAATGAAACCAGAATCAAAATGAAAAGACAACACACCAGCTGGGAGAAAGTATTTGCAAAGCATATATCCGATAAGAGGTCAATCTACATAATATATAAAGAACTCACACAACTGGACAACAACAAAAAGAAACAACCCAATCAAAAAATGTGCAGAGGATATGAACAGACATTTTTCCGAGGAAGATATACAGATGGCCAATAGGCACATGAAACTATGTTCAACATCGCTAATCACCAGGGAAATGCAAACCAAAACAACACTGAGATATCACCTTACACCCATTAGAATGGCTATAATCACCGAGACAAAAAATAACAAATGTTGGAGAGGTTGTGAAGAAAAGGGAACCCTCATTCACTGCTGATGGGAATGCAAACTGGTGCAGCCTCTGTGGAAAACAGCATGGAGACTCCTCAAAAAATTAAAAATAGAAATACCTTATGATCCAGGTATCCCAATACTGGGTTCTATCCAAAGAACTTGAAATCAACAACCCAAAGAAGCTTATGCACCCCTATGTTCATTGCAGCATTATTCACTATAGCCAAGAAGTGGAAGCAACCTAAGTGTCCTTCGACTGGTGGTTGGATAAAGAAGATGTGGTATATATACACAATGGAATACTACTCAGCCATAGAGAAGACAAAATCATCCCATTTGCAGCAACGTGGACGGACCTGAAGGGTATTATGTTAAGCAAAATAAGCCAGAAAGAGAGAGACAAACACTATATGATATCACTCATACATGGAAGATAAACAATACACGGACAGAGAGAAGAGTTTGGTGGTGGGGGAAGGGAGTTGGGCGACAGGCACAAGGGGTGATGGGACGTATGTATATGGTGACTGATAAACAATAATGTACAACTAAAAGTTCACAATGTTATAAACTATTATGACATCAATAAAAAACAAATAATCGTACCACCGAAGGAAGAAGTAGGTTTTTTTTCTTTTCTTCTGTGTGAGAAGGGAGGAAAAAAATAAAAAGCAATAAGCCCAAAGAAAAAGACCTTGTTATATTCATCTGTATAAACATGTCTTCTAAGGCAAATGCAATCCAGGATCAAGGCTGCTGCACTGGGGTCGGTACCTCCTAATTTCTGCAGATTCTAAGGCCAAAAAATAAAACCTCTGCAAGTCCAACGGGAGCCTCAGCGACTCTTGGGGCATTTTACTAAAATAAAGAGCTATCGAGTTTAAAAAGGAGTAACATTGTCATGACACACACTGAAAGTTGCATAACTGTGGTCTCAACGGCCGTTCACTCGTTTGGACTGGGTGACGGGCACGGTTTCATGATACAGCAATGGACACACACACGCACACACACAGACACGCACACATGTGAGCCAGCACATCGGGAGCTGAGCAGGACCGGGCAGGTGACACAAGCGTGGCTGAGGCCCATCTGGAGATGGGCACAGGGCTGGCTGGGATCCCCATGCTTCCTCAGGGGGTGTATGCGATGGGACAGGGCTGGTGACAAGGAGGTGAACATCACTCGGGGAAGGATGGTGTGAAAGGACCGAGCGAGGCCCCCTGCTCTCCACCGCCTGGTCCACGCAAACCACTTAAAGCACTTCTTGGACGCCTCCTGGAGAATGGAGATGGGCACTGGGTTCCTTCCCTATGAAGGGCCAGTCCCTCTTCCCCACCCTGCTCTCTCCAGAGCCCCTGGGACACTCAGGCTATTCTGGGGGGACTAGGGAGTGCTGTTTCTGCCCCCAGAGCCTTCCCTGCCCATGATCCATGGCATGGCTGGCAGAGTGTGAGCCCGTGAGGTAAATTGGCACAGATGCCCCTCACCCTGCCTGGCTGGGCCCAGAGAGCTGGGGTTTCCAAGTCAGCATGGGGCGCCAGGGGCCTGGGTCCCTTCGTGAAGATGGAGGTCCCCCGCCTTGACTTCAGCAGAGGGGAGGCAGGGCTGGAGAAACAGGTGCTGGGGGTGGGAGCCGTTGTGCCTCTGATCAGCTCCTTAGGCCCAGCTCTATGGAGCCGGCCACACTTCTTGCCATCTGTCACACCCCAGTCTAGGAAGGGGCTCAGAGGGCCCCAGGGCCAGTGCAGCCTGCTGGTTAAGGGCAGGTGGCCTTTGGGTGGGGGAGGAGGTGAAAAGGGAGAGGCACAGGGGAGGGGAGGTGTGGGGGGGGCAGGGAGCACCCTAGAGCCAGGAGCTGAGCTCGGAGCATCAAGCAGCACTGGAGCAGGCAGCGGGGCAGCCGGGGTGTGAGAGAGACTCAGGAATTGCCAGGGAGGGCCGGGCCGGGCCGGGCAGGGAGCCAGAGCTGGTGTCGTGGCCTCAGGAACAGCAGAAAGGAGCGGGGAGAGGCTGGACCACTTGTGTGAGGCCCTCAACTGGCTCCGTGCACAGGTGTGTTAGGTTTTCAGGATTGTCCCTTCAGACAGAGCCGAGGGTGCACGCTCGGCCTCCAGTGTGCCCGCCCTCGCCTGCTGGATGGGGCACTGGAGCCAGGGCCGTGCGGTCAGGCCCAGCCCCTCGCTACTTGAAGGTGGCCTGCAGCTCCTTGAAGGCTGCTTTCCGCTGCTTCATCTCCTCCGCCTGCTTCTTCCTCTCCTCCTGCTCCGCCTTGAGCTCCTCCTCAAAGCGGCTGGACTCACTGATGGCCTGGACCTGGGGGGAGGGGGCCAGGCGGGTCACGGTGGGCGGGGTCTCTGCGCCTCCACTGTGGGCTTGCTCTGGGGTCCTTCCAGCCTGCAGTTCTGCTGTGCCCCTCGCACCAACGCACGCACAGCTCTGCCTCTCACTAGCTCTGGCCCTGGGGCGGGCACTGCATTCACCTCTCTCAGCCTCAGTTTCTCCGTTTAGAGCCTGCTGCTCAGTCACTCTGACCTCACGGACTGTTGGGAGGATTAAAAGAGATACCGCACAGTCAGTGGCTGCTGCATGGCATGGCTCCTCGATGTGGGAGCTTCTGAGGTTGCCATCCTCACCCTGTTTCCCGTCCTGGGGAGCCCAGCTGCACACCTGGTCCCACTGATGAACCTGAAACATCCCATCAACCCTAGAAGCCCAAAGGGAGGCGGGAGTAGCATTGAGAAGGAATGTTCTTAGCTCACATGGGAAGAGGGAGAAACATTGAAAGGCAGGTGCCCTGGGGCCCTGGGTAGGCGAGACCCAGGAGCCATATATGTCCCCTCTATCTAAATGTGTGATGAAAGGGAAGGGTGCTGTGCATGTAGGTGGCCTCTGGGGCTCAACAGCCTCCCTCCAGGCTGTGGCAGGTGGGCGGAGTCTCTGAGAGGCCCCGGGAGCCAGTGCTGTGTTTCTGGGCCTGCTCTGCTGTCTCTTGGGCCCACCTTTAAGGCCCAGTCCTTTGGGGGTAGTGGCTCTGTGTGCCAGGGGCAGCTCAAAGTGGTCCCTGTCCCCTCTCTGACAGTACATACCCCTTACCCACCCCCCGGCACAGGGACAGAAAGTGGAAGCTGGAAAAGATCACAGCCTGGATGGGAGGGGACAGAGCCAGGAGGGCACACTGTGGGCCTTGCCCAGCTCGGCCGGGGTGTCAGCTTCCTGTCTCCTGTCTGCAGCCTCAGCAGGGACAGGAAGGGGAAGCGCTGGCCCTCGAGCTAACCCAGGGTCCTGTTATAGCCCAGTCACCGCCCTCCTCGAGCCAGGGTCAGGCCCCCCGACCCCAGGCTCCACACGTCCTCCCGTTCCTCACCTTGGCCTCAAAGAAGCTCTTGGCCCCCTTGACGCCCTCGGTGGAGACGTCAATCTCGGAGAGGCGGGCCAGCACGTGCAGCCCGCTGTCCTCCTGCAGCTCCCCAGCCGCTGCCTTGCAGAAGATCAGGAGCAACTGCGCAGGGAGAAATGTGCGTGGGGTCAGGGAGAGAGGGAAAGGGGCCGGAGTCCCTGGCCACAGCCAGGCCCAGCCTCAGGCCTTCCAGAGAAATAGGTTTATATCATTATGACAAAGACCACCCCTCACCTGCATGAGCCTTCCTCGAGTCTTCTAGACTTCTGACCCGTCTACGCTGTCCTGCCTCTCCAAGGAGCCACCATTTCATCCAAACACCCTGAGATGATGAGTGGGGAAAGAGCCCCCTGGCTGGACAGGGGTGATGTCGCCTCCCTCCCCTCCCAAGTCTTGGGGCCCCCGGCGCCCACTTACCCTGCAGCCTTCCCCAGCCCGTGATGTAGCAGACATAGTTGTTGGGTGGAATGCTGCCACGGCCGCCCAGCTGGATCTTGTCGCTTATGGTGTTGGTTGGCCAGTTTGAGCAGAGCAGTGTCGTTCCTGGGTTGGTAAAGAGGTAGAGCATAAAGAGAGGGTTGACTGTTCCTGCCCCAATTTCATTTCTGATTCTAGCCCTAGCTGGAACCACTGAACCCCCTCCTCAGCCAGCCCGATTGTGAATCTTCCTTCTGTCGGGGCTGTGATGGATTGGAGAACAGCCGTGGTTAAACCCCAGGATTGCATTTTGTCCCTGGTGGAGCTTGGAGCCCTAAATTCCCCTAAGCCCTTTCAGGGGAATGTTTGGAACAGGGCGGGCAAACAGGTTTTGGCTTGCAATGTCCACTCTGATGGATTAGCCGTGGCTGCCTGGTGGGCTGTGTTGACAAGGATGCTGAGACTCTGTCCAGGGTCAGCAAGGAAACACATCCATGGTTGCTTGGTGATGGCTGTCCTGTCATACACTTCCCATGTTTGGTTTAGAAAATGGCAAGAGATGCTCAGGTCAAAGGGCCTTTCTGCCTTTTACTCTTAGCTCTCTCTTCCGCCTTGACCTCTTCCGCCAGATTCATCCCTTTGCCTCACATTCTTGTCGAGGAAATCGTTAGTGATTGGCAAATTGTATTTTTCACAATGGCTGCAATGAGATCTCCCATCGTATAGGCTCTTGTTATGATGTGATGTTGACGCTCCATCCACTGAAAAGTAGGGTCTGGGTGGGGAGTGGGGACTGGGGGCCTGTGATATGGTGGAAGTGACACCATGTGACTTCTGAGACTAGTCACGAGAGAAGATACAGCTTCCGTCTGGTCCTCCGGGACTCTTGTTCTTGGAACTCAGCCTCTGTGCCATGAAGAAGCCCAGGCCACAGGGAGAGGCCACATATAGATGGTCCAGACAACAGGCCCATTGACAGCCAGCATCGGCCCCCAGTAGGTGAGGGAGGAAGCCTTCGAGATGCTGCAGCCCCGGCCATTGTCTGTCTGCAACCCAGTGAGACCCTGAGTGAGAAGTGCCCAGCAGAGCCCAATCAGACCCGAGATATCATTACGATCCATGATTGTGGCTCTTTTAAGCCATTATGTTTCTGAGCGATTTGTTATAAAGCGACAGATACCCAGAAGAGTAATGCCCATTGATAGGACAGATATTAAAGGTCCTTAGGGCTGACAGCATGCTCAGTTCTAGCACACTTTCTTAGCCATCTCTCCTATAATTCCTCTTCACTATGCTCCCTTCCTGCTGGACAGCTCTGGTCCCTGTCCCAGCGCCACCTGCCCATTCTGTGACCATCCCTTGTCCTGGCACTTCTGACTTAAAAAGCTCCTTCCTCACTCTCTGCCCACCATGTCCTCCCCATCTCTCAAGCCCTTCCTTGACACATCCTGTGTCATTTTATGGCTTTCTGGTGTCTTGTGTGTGTGCCTCACCCAGTTGTCAAGCCCTTTGAGGTCAGGGACCGACTCATGACTGAGGGACCCCGTGCATCCTCTGTGAGCCATCATCAGCGCTGGACCACAGCAGGCTAACTGGATGAGGGAACGCCGAGGGTTATGACCACAGGGCGTCCTCCTGCTCTCCAGGGGCTGTGATGAGGAGTCTTCTGGAAGATCTGGCAGAGTGAGCTCTCTGGGCAGCTGTTCAAGAGTGGCATCTTGGGCTGCAGAAGAGGCCATGCACATGATAAATTATGCACATTTGAAGTGAAGCCTGGGGCGCTTCTTTCTAGAGACACTTCTGGAACTGCAGATTGGGAGAGGATTGGGAGAGGAGAGGATGACAGACACCTCTGGTTCTGGAAAGATGATGGGGAAGCAGGGAAAAGGAGGAATACTTTCTCTCTCCCTCGGGGAGATGGCGACAATGATGATAAAAGTGCATTGAAGGCCTGCCAGGATCAGGCTCTCTGCTAAGTTCATCACACCTCATTGAATGCTCCTTTCTAGATCTGTAACTTCTCTAGGTCATGGCTTCCTCATCTGTGAAGTGGGGTCATAGTAGCACCTTGCTCCTAGGGTTGTTGTGAGGAGTAAAGCAGATCATCCGTGGAAACATTTAGCACAGGGTCTGGCATGAGGGTAACACTAAGTGCTCGTTTGTATGATTGTGAAAACTAACTCCTGGGTTTGGCAGAGAGCTCGCTGGGAAGACATCCCAGATTGTGAGTTTCTGGAGGGTTGGCAGTCCCCAACATTCCTGCCTGTACTAATGGAAGACTGTGTTGGCTGGGCACAACCACCGTTGGTCACTGGAGTAGCAATGCTTGTGGGATTAGAAAGGGGAGCTCCCTGAGCTGCAATGAGCTGCTCAGGTTTAGGGGTTACCCTAAACCTCACAGGGCCTGGGGCCTTGTGTGTCTCACTCCTGGCTGTTACCCCAGTGTCTAGAACAGGGCCTGGCACATAGTAAGCACTCAACAGATATTTGTGGAATGAGAGCACGAGTGAGCCTATGGCTCTGAATTTTGTTTAGTGGCACCTGGATCTCAGGATCAGTGATCATGAAAGAAGCCTACTTGTCCAGCAAATATTCACTCACCCTATTGTCTGTCCCCTCCCTGGGTGAGAGGATAGAGATTCAGGGGCAAATCCAGTACAGCCCAGCCCTTGCAAAATTCCATCTAGAAGGAGATTCAGACGTGAGCTAATCTCTAATGCAGTGAGCTATGTGCCTTGACTGGACCTGCACCTCGAGAGTGGGGATGGGCAGGAGTGAGGGGTAGATTCTGCCAGAATTCTGACGGGCAGGACCTTCTCTTCCTCTTCTTCCTCTCCCTCCTTTTCCCCACATCCTCGGACCACTCCCCATTGCCTCAGTGTTCAACATACAGCCCAGCACTTACACTTCTTCATTACACTATTATTACGCTACTACTATTACTAAGAGCTCACACATGTGGCTTCTATTATGTGCCAGGCCCTTTTCTAAGTGCTTCCCATACATTTTCTCATTTTATCCTTGCAATAACCCTAGAGATAGCACTGTAATTTTGCTCATTTTACTGAAGGGAAACTGAGGCACAGAATGCCTAAAGAACTCGTGCAGGACCACACAGTCATTATTCCCGTCTAAGCCTTAAGGCTCCAGAGCTCAAGCCCTAACCACTACCCTGCACTACCTCGCTGCCAAGCTTACAGCCAGGAGCTCTCTGAGAGCTGGCGATGATGACATAAAGAAACGGAAAGACATCCCATGCACATGGATTGGAAGAATAAACATAGTTAAAATGCCCATACTACTTAAGGCAATCTACAGATTCAATGCAATCCCAATCAGAATCCCAATGACGTTCTTCACAGAAATAGAACAAAGAATGCTAAAATTCATATGGGGCAAGAAAAGACCCCAAATAGCCTAAGCAATCCTGAGAGAAAATAAGAAAGCTGGAGGCATCACAATCCCTGACTTCAAAATATACCACAAAGCTATAACAGTTAAAACAGGATGGTACTGGTACAAAAAGAGACACGCAGATCAATGGAACAGAATTGAAAGCCCAGAAATAGAACCACACATCTACAGACAGCTAATCTTTGACAAAGGATCTAAGATGGAAATGGAAATGGAAAAAGGAGAGCCTCTTCAATAAATGGTGCTAGGAAAACTGGACAGCCACTTGCAAAAGAATGAAAGTGGACCATCTTCTTTCGCCATACACAAAAATTAAGTAAAAAGGGATCAAAGACCTAAGGTGAGACCTGAAACTATAAAACTCCTGGAGGAAACTCTAGGCAGTACACTATTTGTCATTGGCCATAAAGGGATCTTTTTGAATTCCACGTCTACTCAAACAAGGGAGACAAAAGAAAAAAATAAACAAGTGGGACTTCATCAGATTAAAGAGCTTCTAGAAGGCAAATGAAACCAGAATCAAAATGAATAGGCAACCCACCAGCTGGGAGAAAGTATTTGCAAAGCATATATCCGATAAGGGGTTAATCTCCATAATATATGAAGATTTCACACAACTGAACAACAAAAAACCAAACAATCCAATCAAAAAATGGGTAGAAGATGTGAACAGACATTTTTCCAAGGAGGATATGCAGATGGCCAATAGGCACATGAAACTATGTTCAACATCACTAGTCATCAGGGAAATGCAAATCAAAACTACACTAAGATATCACCTTACACCCATTAGAATGGCTATAATCACCAAGACAAAAAATAAATGTTGGAGAGGCTGTGGAGTAAAGGGAACCCTCATTCACCGCTGGTGGGAATGCAAACTGGGGCAGCCTCTATGGAAAACAGTATAGAGATTCCTCAAAAAATTAAAAATAGAAATACCTTATGATCCAGGTATCTCAATACTGGGTATCTATCCAAAGAACTTGAAATCAACAACCCAAAGAGGCTTATGCACCCCTATGTTCATTGCAGCATTATTCACTATAGCCAAGAAGTGGAAGCAACCTAAGTGTCCCTCAACTGGTGGTTGGATAAAGAAGATGTGGTATATATATACAATGGAATAGTACTCAGCCATAGAGAAGACAAAATCGTCCCATTTGCAACAACATGGATGGACCTGAAGGGTATTGTGTTAAGCAAAATAAGCCAGAAAGAGAAAGACAGACACTGCATGATTTTACTCATATGTGGAAGATAAACTAATACACGGACAGAGAGAACAGTTTGGTGGTTACCAGCGGGAAGGAGGTTGGGTGATGGGTACAATGGGTGAAGGGATGCATTTATATGTGACTGATAAACAATAATGTACAACTAGAAGTTCACATGTTATAAACTATTAT